ACTATCATGTGTAGAAGTTGAAAGCTGGCCAGGAGCACCGCTTCATGCGGCAGCTCCGGGTCCGGCGGAATGGACTTGCCGCGCAATCCACGCGGCCGTTGTCCCTTGGTGCCTGGTTGGCGGGAGGTGGAGCCGGACCCCCCAGCCAAAGGGGTTTCAGAATACGCGCGTGATTTTGCGCGACTTAGGCCAGACGACATTACACCCCGAACAACAAGGCTGCGAACGCGCCGGACAACAGCAACAAGGCCGGCGCAGCGAAATCTGAAAGACCAGGAGAGAGTTGGGCGTTCTTTGCGCAGGCCAAAGCTGCAGATGCTGAGGACTGGTCTGAAAGCCGCAAGGAGCGGAACCGGAAGGCACATGCTGTCAACGGCAACACTTCCTCGCCTGCCCCAGGCCCCCTCATCATCCTTCAAGATGACTTCTTCGCAGGCCTCTCTGCCCCTGTCTGCAGCCCCATGCCTCGTGTGAAGCCCCCACACTTCGATTATGAGGCCTGGGCGCGCTCCCCTTGCTGCACCACGGGGTCGGCGGATATAGTTCAACGCACCGAAGAAGATTGGTCTAGAATTGATGTTTGAGAGGGTGACTGTGTTACTTGAGTTGGAGATGGCACTCAAGATTGATCAAACGTACCGCGAAAAAGAAGAAGAGGGGTGGGGCGCAGTGAGAGGGAGGAGGGAACATCCTGAAGTGGGGTCATCGGTCTGGAACTGGGTTGCCGAGCTGGGGTTGAATCTATTCATTTTTTGCAGAGGGAGTTGTTTCCTGCATGTTCCTGCTATGCATTGCCAATATAATTAGTGTCAGCTTTTACTCTAGGGCTGCCTTCCTTTCAAAAACAGCGAGTTTTTCACGAGACTAAGAACTTAGTCCCTTAGTCCTGAAAGGAATGACCAGATTGGTTCAATGATTTTTTCTGCACTATGTTTGCATGTTGTCCTCTTTCTGCATCCCAAACCCATCGGATGATCCCCCACATGGGTTAAGAAGCGCCCATAGATACATGGCCTTCCAACAACCCACACGAACTCGACAGATCTTAAGGGATACGAACTGACCACGTGGGGCGTGGTTTGCTTCGGGGGCCCATATGTGGGAGTGGATCGGGTCCAGGGGTGTGGGTTGGAGTGACGTGAAAGGCATTTTTTTTCACGATGAATGGCCATTTCATCATGAAAGAATATTGATCAAGCACATCAAAGCACCAATGAATGTGAGTGGCAAACCCCAAATCTCTCAGCTGGCCCAAGACATGGTCAGCTCCTGCCCTCGTCACCCAACCTCCGTCGTCGTTGCGGAAAGGACTTGGCTTCGTGGCTCTATGACGGCGCGACAATTTTAAAGCCTCAGGCAGGGCGATGCCTGCGGAGGCATCAAGGAAATCCATGGGCTTTACATCCGATTCTCTTGTTGAGGCCCACCGACAGGGCAACCAAAACCTGTATTGGGATATGTTTTGCTGGTCCTTCCGCCAGGCCATGGTGGAGCTCTCCTCACGCCGCCAAGTTTTCATCGGGAAGTTGGAGGACGAGTCGGGAAGCAGCTCGCACTTGTGGACTTGCGTGTGATGTCTTCCAAACCCGCTGCACAGGTGATCACTATGGGTCCTATAGGTCTACTTCACTGGTAGACCAGTTCCTGAATGGGCCCAGTAGAGTTCACATGAATCACATCTGGAATCGCCAAACCAAGTGGTTCTCGCCCCACCCGGGAGTTACCGAAATCGCCTTTCACCCCGCGACTATTCGGCCGTCTCTTGGAATGGCGCGAGGAGCTCCACGACCTCAAATGGGATGTGCCCTTTGATGCGGAAGAGGTGCCGCCGGTGATGCGGGGTGACCGGCCCGATGGGCAGTGGTGGGTTGCAGTGGTGGGTGGCTCTAGCTCAAGTTTGGGGGGTATTTCTAGTTACGTAGCCACTGGTTTGGGCAACACTCATGCGTGAATCTGCACTTTTGGCGCAGTCCGAACGAAGGTTGCAAGACCTTCACAGATCACACCCCCCAAACAAGAAATTAGCATATATCTATATAATATTATAATGTAATATATATATATACACAATATATATATACAGCATCATTCTTGAGGATCTAGTGACACATTGCTTGGCCAACCTAGGCCTCACAAGCCGATGGTTTTTAGGGAACTAAGGACCTCCGGGTATTCTCCTTGAAAGGTTGCCACGTGCGCGTGAGTTCTTTGCGTCCTTGGGTATCCAATAGTGAGTCTCTTAATTCAGTAGTCATTTGGCTGTGGGTCAAAATCCAGAGCCCTGGTCACTGGCAGGTGGACCTCTTTGTATAGTAGTCTATTCTCTTCATGTTGGGTGGTGAACATTTTTTTAAACAATGTTATTCTGTTTTTTCGCGTTGGGCCTCCACAGCCCGAAGGCGGTTTTCTTTCCTTTTTGGGCCTTCGCGTCGCAAGGAAGCCATTCATCAGAACAAGATCGCGCGGGATGCCGCAGGGATGGAGTGAGTGCAGCCGAGGGCGACACCCGATCGCGGCCGGCCTTACAAGAGTGTGAAGTGTCCGCTGGATACTTTGAGAGCAAAGGAGCTAGGAGTTCCTTGGGTCCAAAGAAGTTTTGGGAGTGTTGATACTACACCCTGTTATACTCTATCTATTTATGTTGACTGTTGATGAATAATCCCTCTATGCCTAGATGGTCAACACCTCCATAGTGCTTTCATGGGTCTTCATTAATGTAATAGCAAAAGCAGCCAGCATTAAGCCAATTGAGGGACTGGGCCCTGCCTGATCAAGCTCCGTTTTGGTCCTAGTTCCTGACATGGACAAGCTGGGGCTGCCCAGTCTTGGATGGTTTGGCGACAGTTTCTTCGCCAGATGGCTGTGACCGAGCATCAAAAGCATGAGGTCAGATGGAGCAGGAGATAGTTCCAGAAAAGATGCGCTGCTCGAGTGACTCACTGTAGGAGTCAAGTTTAGGGGTCCAACTACCAACCCAAACCCATTCACGGCAGAGTCTCAGAGGGCTTAGATGTAGATTTGTAGGATGGTAGCTGTTACGACCACCTCTTGAGCCACTGCCAAGGCACAGCTGGCTTGCTCTTCAGCTCAAGAAATGGACCGGTGCACCTTAAAGACACCCCCAAAGGCATCCCAAAACGGAAGTTCGCTGAAGTTCATCAGGACTGGAAGGCGATCGCCTCCTAAACCAGGGCGTGGCGCCATTGATTTGCCTATGTTCCATGGTGTCGTGGGGGATGGTCGCTGGGGAAGCCGAGTGTTTCTCCCCCAAGAAGCACTCGACTCTTTGTGTGTTGGTTTCGACCTTTCTACTGAAGATCCATGATTTTCTCAATCCAACTGGGTCAGGTATCATTCTGAAAATAGGATGATCATTATTTATTGGATAACCATATGCCATATGTGGCTAGGGGTCCCCTATTCCAAGATGAATGCCATTTCATGCTTATTTGGCTCCACACTGACCAACATGGAAAACCCAAAAAGGTGACAGGCGGTGACAGGCGACTCCATCCAGAAGGTTCCAGAAATCCATTTTCACATTCATTGCAGTCGAGAAGTTCATCACCATCATCGTCTCATCGTCCACTGTTGAGGGTGCATTGGTCCGCAGGGTCCAGGGGTCGACTGAGAGTAGTTTCTTAGTTCTTAGTAGTAATGCCAGGAGCTACTAGTATAGCTTCTTAGCTCCATTCGTAGCTTCTTGCTCCTTTGGCTCCTAGTAGCTTCTTTGTTCCTAGGGTCAGCTTTCTCCTTCTGCCCTTAGCATCAAGCAGCATTTCGACCGGTCCGATCGTGCCCGATAGTGCCACGCTCGCGCCCTGCGGCTTTGCCGAACGGAACTCATGACGTTGGACTTGACGGAGCAAAAGGTGAAGACCACGGTGGTGGTGAGCGCCTCCCTTCTCTCTGGGCTGGCATTCTTGAGGCGCGGCTGGGGAATGGTAGCTATGGTGCCGCAAAGCAATGGCAGAATATGTATACATTTATTTATGTTTTTGACGTCTAAGTTCTTGTCTGATCCCGTGAACAGCATCCCAACACGAGGATTGATGGATCATGCTGTTAAGATAATGTTAAGTATATTTGATACGCATCTCTTGCGCCACTTCGAGTCTTTTGCAGCCCGTCCATCAAACATGTAGGATGAACACAACACAATGATGATCAAAAGGATGATGGCAACATGACAAACATGTTTTGTGAATGAAGACCGATATTATTTTACTTCTCTCAGCTGTGCGGTCTAGCCGGTAGCCTATTGCGCATTATTGCGCGTGCACCAAATTATTCATGAAGACCGATTAAAGAAATGGCAAAGCCTTGTGTGGCACTTCTGCATGCACGCCTGCAAGTGCCTAAACAATGTGATAAGGCGTTGAACAGCTCTCTCTCTCTCTCTCATAATATGTATATATATACTTTTACTTATACACATGGTTCAAAAGGTCTTATGTGGTGCAACTGGCATCAAACGACATTATGAACACATGAAGCAAAGATTATGAGAAAGAGATGGGGAAGGTATTGACCTGATATTAAACTATTATATGTTCGCGGCCGCCAAAACCATGACGATATCGGTTGGAAGGGCGAAGGGTTTCAGGACCTTATCAAAGGAGGCAAGCTTATCTCATCGTCACCAGAGCAAGGGAATTGAAGCTTTTATTCAGCCCAGCTGGTTGATAAGCCGCTTCATACGTAAATGTCGCCAATCAACATTCTATTCACTGTTCGCAACCAGCTTTACCAAGAATGAAGGGTGCCTCGTGATGAAAGTCGACGTATTCGACACATCTTTTGGTTGGGTGAGGAGCCCAAGCTTTGGCCCTCCCTACATCAAATCCAACTCTGGAGCAGGGGTTGGATGTCAACATCGAATGATCAGGCCGAGTGAACACAGGACATGTGCGTGGCCCACTGAAATCATTGAACTGGCGCTGCTTCCACTAGATGATGCTTATAGGTTGCTTTGGATGATTCAGGGGACCCAATAGCACCTTAATTCTGAAATGGTTTCGTACACGTTGCACGCTTGGCCTCCTACAGCTTTTCAATGTTTGCTCGATTGCTTTCTTCCATCAAAACTCCACCTAAGACATACACCATTCCCAATGAGACCGAGTCTGCACCAGTTCTCCAGCGTCAAGTCTCAGGTGTGTGCGGACATGCTCGCCCCTCATCCCCTCACAACACCTCATCCGCTAAATTTGGCCCACCTTCAAACATGTGTAGATGCAGAGCCACAGCATCCTAGATTTGTAAGATGCCCTGCACCGGGTAAGATGTTTGTTTGCACCCTGTGACCTTTTACTCCTGTTGAATAAGGGCTATCATTATCACAACCCACCGTGAGTCAGCAGATCGCAAGGGTCTATTGACACTCTCTGGGATTGGGAGGAGAATAGGTACCACCTGACGTAATATCATAGTTATATTTAGGTGGATGAGGATTGAAGTCGGCTCCCTCCGCTTGTTTCTTCAGCATGGAAAGAGGACCCACCCTGACCATCCCCAAGAGGTCCTTAGCCAGAGATCTTTTCCATAACTCATCCTTTTCAAAGAGATATATGCACACCAGACTAATACATGAACTCCATGGCATTCGCTGAAATCATGTGTTGCAGGAGGAGAACTTCCTTCGGCAGTAAAAGTTGCAGATGTTGCTAGAGACTTTTAGACTAGCAGGTTGGAGGCCATCGCTAGTAGGTTGGAGGCCATCGCTAACTACTTCTTCAGTTTGTCTTGGCCTCAGGTGGCTCCTGAGCCCCAAGATTGACCGCTTCCGCGCTTTGGCACGGAAGGGCTTTCCCCCCGCCTCACGGGGATGAAACGTGGGTTCTCGTCCTCTGTTCTCACAGATTGAATATGTATCTTGCATGGTAACAGTCTACAGGAAAAGGGATGAACATTGTCATGTTCTAATTATATTATATAGTATATGGATGTAGAAGGCCAATTCACAGAATCTTCTCCTGCCCCTTTTGGGTCACCATGGACTGCAAGGGTGCACTGACCAAGCCCCACAGGAATCGCCTTCGCTGGGCGAATGGAAACCTGTGTTCAGTCTCCCCTTGACCAGTCGTGGATTCGAAGCTGAAGGTACGGTCCCTGGCCTTCCGTATTTTGGGGTCTTGGCACAGCTGGGCTCAGGCCGGGGAGCGGTCTTGACTGGTGACGGGAAACCCACCGGCTGAAAGCAAGGTTCGGAGCTAAACCCATTCCAGATGTTTGTGCAATCTAGTCTGAAATCACTGTAACCACAGGATTGCCAGAGAACCTTTTTATAGGAGCACAGCCAAGAAGTTCGACCAAGATCCAAGAATCCATCCTGTCTACAGGTGCTTCCATGCCTGGAGCAGGTGATTGGAGCGATGGAGCGATCCCTCTCGTTCGATTCCCCTTTCTTTTTTGGGATAGAACGAGGCATCGAAACCGTGAAGCCTCTGATCAAATCGACACATATAAATCGGTTGTGACGGAACCTCCCGGGTGCCGGTAAAACTTCTTGGCTTCAATACACAAGTTACTACACCAACCGGGAGGTCTATGAACCAGGTGAAGAAGCAACCTTTTGATTGGATAGGCCCCGAGAGCGATGCGGGCTTGTTGAAAAGAGACTCACTTGCCGCGGCAAGCTTTCTGCATTAGTTTGTGTGGCTACCCGCAGTTTTGCTGGGGTTCTCTTCATTCAACGGCAGATCTATGTGGATGATCTCCACCATTGGGTACACAATGAGTCAGGATTGGATCCAATGGTTTCCCGTGGCGTTCGTGGGGTTATGGCTGGCTCGCGAGCCAGGCCAACATTCCGGTGAGCAATTCGACGAGTGGGCAAGGGACTACGGCCAAGAGGGTGTCTTTGAGATGGTTCTGGTTGCCGGGATGCAGACGACCAGACAGGGAAACCAAATGCTCCAGAAACATCCAGAAGCGCTATGCAGATTAGACACATCAGAGAGACTTTGTCCCTCACTTTCTTGAGAACCTTCTGGGCAGCCTTCTTGAAGCTCATCTACTCTAAGACGAGGGCCCCTCCTGACTGCCGGGCCGTCACCAATCCCCTCGCCGAGCGTATCTTTTTTTCCGGCGAGCCTGGCTCGGAAAAGACAGAACCCGCAGGAACCCGCAGTGGCGCCCCAACCTCCAAGGGGTTTTGCTTTGAAGAAAAGGAAAGCCTCGGGAAGAAGAGGTCCTCCTTCTCCCTCCTCCGAATGAGTGCCGCAAAAAGCCGCGATGAGCTCCACGTCGCGAGGCTGGGAGTCGGCTGGTGGGGATTTGCTCCTGGCCGTTGGTGTCGAAGATCCTGGAGATGCGACCCTCCAAAGCCATCAAGCCAGGCGCCGCCTGAGCGGACCGAGCTGGTCGTTCTTGGCACTCAGCTGTTTCCAACGAGTCAATGGTTCTTGTTTAAGGGAACATCTAACAGGAAGCCTCCCAAACCATGGCTTTCATGTAGATGTTCCCTTACACCAATTCTGGGATAGAGTTTATAGACGCCAAACAGATCTAAGTGATCTAAGCGGTTTGAACAGATTCTCCCCTGGGGTCTATGGATGCTGTGCTTCTCATCCTTTAGCCATAGCACTTGTTTTGAGGACCAATGATTGAAAGAACACATGTTGCATCATGAGCCAGCGTCATTGTGTCGGGGGCATGCACTCCAAGACTGTTGTTCAGGATCCAGGCAAATCTAAATGAATAGTAGTTGAAGGTGAAATCGCTTTACACATTCTGTAGAAGTATATAGTTGTTTCTCATTCTGAAACAACCCGCCAGAAGAAGCCTAAGCCCCCCTTACAGAAACGAACACATCGACAAGGACCTTGGGGACCCAGGCCCAGATCCCCTTACTTCTCCCAGCTGAGGCTCGTTGTTGAATGGTGCTCATGGCATGTTGCAAGGCAGCTTCTTCAGTGAGGGCGACCAGTGTCGCGGCACGAGCAGGGGCAGATGGCCGTTTTCACGGGCTCTGTGAGTGGTGTTGCGTGCGACTTCCGCCTTTTCTTGGACATTGAAATCTCCCAGCAAGAAACATTGGGAGATATACTTTGCCTGAAGCAAACAATCGTGTTCCATAAAGGCATTCCCCTGGGTCCAAGTTCGGAGCCCGCGCAGCCAGCGCGGGCTCCCCGCGGTCCGGTCGTCCGCGGTCTGTGGTCTGCCTCCGTCCGCCGGGGCCTTAGGTGGAAGCGGGAGCGGCGCCTGCTTTCCCCGGCGTTCAATGTGAAGAGCATCGCTTCTGGGCGAGTTGGGATCGAGGAACCGAGCTATAGTCGGAGGCGATATACGGTATATGGGGAGAGGTGCTAGGCTGCTAGGCGCAAAAGAGGTGATTCAGATGACAGAAAATGAGCGTGGCAGGTTCCTATACTTCACCATGTCTCCCTGCCGATGTCCTTTCTTGCCGAAACCCTTGCCCCGAGGCCAGCTATGCGCCGGAGGTCACGCGGATGACGCAGACTTTGCTGCAAACTCTGCAGAAAGAAGCCCTTTCGAACGCCGGTGGACAAGTGAACTTCACGGAGAGCCCAGGGGGTTCGGTCTCAGGAGTTTCCACCCTCGAGAGTCGGTAGGGGAATCATTGGAAGCTGGTGGATCCAGGGGCAGGTGTCCGAGTCTATCTCTAGTGCCTCAACCACAGCTTAAGCAGCCCGACCTTCTCTTCTTATCCTCAGTCCACTGAGTTCCAACTTCTCCAGGAGCTCTTGCCCATGTACACCGCGGACGTGTTGTGTGCCACAGCCTTTGGAAAGGACCTGGGGATGTTGGAAAGCAAGAAGTCGGGGATGGTGGTGGACGTGAAGATCCTGGGCTGCAGCCGGTTTGTGGAAGCATCCAGTTTGCCCAGAACCAGTGCAGAGTTGAGATGAAAACACCGCTTGGACATCATCTTATTACTAGGTGAGTCCTGTCCCACGGCTATGGCAATCTAGGTCAACCTTTGTAGTTGTGAGGCCGACACTCCGCTGCTGTTCTCAGGAAGATGTTGGGTGCCCTGAACACGCGCATCTTCCTCCAAATCCCCTACTGGAAGATTCCTATCATCGGCAGGCAGGATGTGGATTTCTTGATATTTCCAAGAACAGAGGCGAAATGGCGAACAGCAATGCTAATTGTATACTAATTACTGCAGGCCACATCTGGCCATATCTCCATTCATTGGTACGAAACAAGGCAGTATTTGCTGCGCCAGAATGAATCGAATGGGACATGAAACAACTAGACAATTCATAGCAAATCATAGCAACACTCCCTTTTTGACATGCAAACTTCCTCTCTCAGGGAAAAACACCTTCAAACCACCTAATTACATTCCGAGCTGGGTAGTTGCAGGAATCCACATGATAAGACCAGGAACATCCCATCCATTCTTGGGTAATTCTTCAGCATCCAGCCTTACGTATTTTCCGGGTGTTTTGGGTGCCCAAAAGCACCCAAATCAGCGGTTTTGATTGGAGTCACGCGACTGAGCCGCTATTGAGCTCCTGCATCGCTGCACTACCGAGGTACTTGGACGGTGGCAACGCCGCCGCGGATCGTATCGGTCGGCGCATGGTGAAGTTGATGAACGAACAAGCTGGACAAGGCGGGATGGTGGGTTGCCTTCGGAGCGTTGGATGTGGGGATGTTGGGGTCTGGATCGGTCGATCGGTGGATGATTCGGAATGATTTGGAGTCGTTTTGGGCGAAACCACGCAGTGGAGAGATGTTTGGACTGTTGGAAGATGTTGGAAGTGTTGGATGTGTCAGGTTTTCTTGTTTTGGCGGTTTTGTTTGGGAATGTCGGAGATGCTTGGACAGTAAGAGGGTGGTGATTGTTAGCTACGCTGCTAACCATTCTAAAATTTTGATTTATACAATGGGTAGAGAACATCCTCTTTCCCAGTGCTTGCGGCCAGCTGGCGGCTAGCTTCGGCCAACCTCAGAAGGTCTAGGTGTTCCAATCCCTGTCACTATCCAATCCTACTGATCCCTGTATCTTTGTTCCATGGTCATTCCTGTACATTTAGGATGAAGCTCAGTGACAGGACTGTCATAACCTTCTCATGAACCCTTCTCGATCGAGCTCCTTCGCAGGAAACACCGTGGTGGAGAAGCTACGACAACTTGAGGGAGACAAGCTGAGCCCAGAGGACTCTAAAGCAGTTTGGTTGATGGTACGATATGTACGGAATTTGTTGTGTTGCCCCTCACATGATGACGTTAGAAAACATCAAGTTCATTCGTGGGGCCACTTGTTCCGGCCATCCTCTTCTCATCAAAACGAGCGAAGAGACCCAACGAGGGCCAGAGACCTTGACAATGCTGGGGAAGAGAGCCCCCCGATTTTTCTGGAAGAATGAGAATGGACCCATCTGGTTGGGGTCTCCCTATTAAAGCACAAACCCGAACGATCTTGTCCGGTGTCCAGGAGCTCATCGGCAACCTGACGGTCCTCTTTGGCGCAGGGACGGACACCACTAGCGTGGCTTCTTGGGCACAAGGGATGGAACAGCCTAGAAAGGAGGATGGCAGATGTGTTTTGAGGGTTCCGGGTGTTTTCCATGGTCTGACTAGGAAACATGTAGATGCCCCCTTGAGAATAGGAGCCCTGGATCGGGGTCAGTGGGTTGGTAAAGGAAGATATGACGGCGAGAAGACCTTGGAAAGACACATCATCTACTTACTTGTCACTTGCTTGCTTTCAGAAGGGTACACATTCAGCAGAAAGCAGAACCATTTTTTTGAAAGCTGGTTGACCCACCTACCCCTTCTGTGGGCTGGATTTGTAGTCACCCTCAGTGTCAGCAATCAGGTTGTATATTTTAAATGGGAAAGTGGATACGTGTGCATCATTTCGACAAAGTGGATATGTGTGCATCATTTCGACAAAGTGGATACGTGTGCATCATTTCAACAGCGTGGAGCTCTGGTGGTGCCACTGTTGGCGTTTCCTGGTGACTGGTTTGTTGTAAAGGCTGGCACTTGTTCACGTCACCGAATGAGGACATATGTGGAATCAAATCGGTGGCTGGGACAAGCCCATCAGGATAGGCCGCCATGCAGAATGCAGGCGGTGGTTTCTTTGACCCCTTGATTTACCAACCCTTTCATACTTTGCATGTTTGGCACGGTGGCTGTTTGCTCTTTTTGGCACAAGCATCACTTTAGGAAGCTGGATGGACAAGAAGCACGGCCTTTTAGGTGCATAAGTAAGGGGGGCTCATCACATTGGTTGTTGGGCTCAGTGCAACATTTCAGTGAGTAGTGCATGGACGACGACGCATCATATGTTTCCGAATCTCCATTTGGCAGCGCATGCTGCGCTCACGCTGCGCTCACGATGCTGTCCGCACGGAGATCTTCCCATGGGGCTTCACATTTTCTTGTTGGGTCATGTCGATGGGCATCTGGCCAGGCAGCCACATATACGGGCTGGCAGGTGAGTTCCTTTGGACGTTGCCGGGACAGCCGTGGAGCCCTCACGCTGGGTAACTTGCATCCATCTGGGTACCGTAAGATTTACATTTGTGAGCGCAAATGGCCTGTTCATCGAGTTGTCAAAATGAGCTTCCACGGGCCTCCCAAGTGCCCACAAGCGTGGCAGGTGCACCACCAAGATGGCAATAAAACCAACAACCGCTTGGACAACCTGGAATACGTAACGCCCTCTCAAAATATGATCCACTACTATGCCACTGCGTCCAGGCAAACTGTTGGAGCGAAGAATTCGAGGCCTGTGCAGTGGAGAGCAATTGGGTCTCAAAGCTGGACGCTTAGCTCCTCGATCCAATCAGCAGCGAATGAGCTGTGCCTAAGTCCAAAGACTGTCTCAAGGTGCTGTCATTTGAACCTTGAATGCCAAGGCTTGGAAATCCAGTTCCATGAGGTCGGTGAACGGACGTTGCCAGAAGAAGAGTGGCAACCCATGCGCTCTCCCCTGTCTGGCGAGGAGATTCCGGGAAGGATGGTGAGCTCCTTTGGCCGATTGAGAAGAAGAGATGGACGTGTTCACCATGGACATTTGACCCAGCAGGGTTATATTGCAACTAGCCTTGGGCTAGGTGGCAGTCACCGGAACCGGAAGGAATTTGTGCATCGTTTGGTGGTTGCTAGCTTTCTGGGGCTGCCACCAACATCGCGTCACACCTGCATTAATCACAAGGACGGCAACAAGAGCAATAATGCACTTGACAACCTAGAGTGGACAACCCCGTCTGGGAACATGGCTCACTTCTTTGCGAATGCAGCTGTCAGCCACCAACAGGGATTGAAACCCGTGTGGAGCAGACGTCTGGGAAAAAATGATGAGTGGACTTGGCACCCTTCAGTTGCTCAATGCGCCAATGCACTGGGGGTACATTCTAGCAATGTCTCCCGTTGTCTTCACGGCATGCGAAAACATGCAGGTGGCCACGAGTTTTTACTGGCAACCGATGCAAAATCGCTGCCTGGTGAAGAGTGGCGACAGATCGACATAGCCTTGCTGCTCTCAGACAGGGCACTGCGGACTGGGTTTTGTGGATGAATCGTTGAACTGTTCTGAGTGCTTTGAGCAGACCTCACTGAGGAACAGACTCAAGCTGAGCCTTTCAGGGAGATTTTTTCTACACGTTGTCGCAGCATGTCAATGTCTAAAACAAGGACCCAAACCACACCTGGACTCTCGAAAGCGTGAATCTTAAGACCCGTAGCCTAGCTGGCCTAGCATCACTCAAATATCCATCCCTTCGACTGCTTCAAATCTCGAAACAAAGCCAACGTCACAACGTCTACCCCCGTAAATGACACCTTGTGGCACCAGAAGTGGCGGCAGACCCCCTGCTTCAATTGGACAAGAGAAATCGGCAGGATGCTGCTGCAATTGACCACCCTCCTTTCCTTTCGTTGCTTCAAGTCTTGAGAGCGTATGTGTTTGGGTGAATTCCGTTTTCTGGGCCTTTGTTTGTTCTGAATATATCCATCAACAAGCCTGCCTGTAAGAAGCAAGGAAGGAACCGATGCACGATGCAATGTTGCGATGTTCAACACATCCCACTGTAAGCACAATGCACTTGGTTTATGGCAATTGTTTTGGCGCCAGTTCCAAGAGACAAGTCGAGCCTGCCGAAGTAAGAGAGAATAAGTAGGCCTGCCGGAAAAACGATCCCTGCCACCGTTGCGCCAGTGACTTTGAGCTCTTGACCCAGCTGGCTCACTGACAGGGTACCCTGGTGTCTTTCTTGCATCACAAAAGATACACTTACACCATTTGTCACTCCAAGGGCTGAAAAGAATCAGAGCTAAGAGACAGCTCAAAGACAGCTGATAATGTATTTTTTTGATTTTTCCGAATTGACCTACCAATGAGGCGACTGGGCCATGTCATGTAGACGGTTGATGAATGAATACCCCCGGATACCAAGATGTAAAACATGTTGCAAAGCTATTTTATATATAGTATTTTATATTCATCAACAATCTACATGATGACTTGTGACTTGAACGTCTTAAAATGTTTTAACCATGCCACCAGCACTGATATAACCATATAACAATCCGTTCCAACTGGCCTCCGTTGGAGACACCGAGGTTCTTAGCTGGGCCATGTATCACTTGGCGCGCGACCAAGAGCTTCAGCGCCTCGTGGCGGAAGAGGCCGGAAGCCGACCCGAAAAGAGAGGCAAATGCTTGTGCTGAAGAGGCAAATGGTTGGGTTTCCAGAGGTCTATTGAGGTCGATATAATCTACAATAATTTTAATGATGGGCCCAGGCAACAAGATTTGACGGGTTGATATATGTATGATGTATGTGTATATATTATACATGATATATTCTTTTACACCAGCAGGCTTCTAAGGCGGAGCCTTCAGCACCCCAAATGCCAATCTTGAGGATCTACCAGGACCATCCATGATACATGTTCGCACGGACCTCCGAGTGGAGGGTCGAGGTTTCCAGACTTGTTCAGGACGGTCGAAACCCGGCTCCCGACCTCTGGAAGTCATGTCTCTGGTCCGGATGCTTTGCGTATTGATGCGTTTAGACGTCACAGTCATTTCTTTTTCTGTGGTGATGCGTCTCCTGGAGTGCTCCAGCTCGGAGTGGATGAGGTGAAAGACTTGCCAGAGACCGTGGGCCCTAGCGAGCTGGTAGCTTGGAGGGTGGGAATTTCTCGTTTGGGCCGACCAAGACTTGCTGGAAAGCCAGGAATATTGAAAGGCCAGGTATTGAGAAATGTAGACAAGACCCCAGGAGCCCGCCTATCAGCCTGATAGCCAGCCTAAAAGTGCCTAAGCGCCCAAAACAGCAAAAGTGAATTTCGTCTCCAACAAGACCATAATAAGCCTTTAAGCGCTTATGTAAACTTCCAAAAGACATCAGGAGCCACGCAGGAGCCTCTAACCCGCCTTTAATCCTCTAGTGCCGAAGGCCCTAAAGCAGCCCTCAAATCAAATAGAACCCAATAGCGATACAGGACAACCGTTCAAAACCGCATGAAACATACACGGACAAAATCCCAAGAGCCCAAGTCTCCATCCAGTGCCATGAGCAGTCTTTTTCTCCAGACCTGAGACTCGAGTCTATGAGGCAAAAAAACAACACGAAAGAGATCGACCGTCCCTTAGACTCTTCGGACGACGAAGAACGCCACGAAGCTACCAGCCTGGCCGGGCCAACGCCACCGAACAGCGGTCCGACCGCTTAGACCTTCAGAACTTCAGACCCCGAAGCGACGGACGGCCCACGACGAACCAAGGAACCCCGAAAGACCACGGACCACACGGACCACACGACCCGCGTGCCTTTGCACGCGAAGACATGAAGACATACGAAGACCACTTAAGGCAAAAAAGGACTTTGAAGACTTCTCGCACAAAACCTTGGACACAAAGAGGTGGGGCATTTGGTATCGAAACAAGGCGAGAATCCCAGTCCAACGATCCCAGCCAGACGTACCAAGTCCCCCAAGACGGAAGAACCCCAACGACACCACGGAACACGGTGGATGGCGGCGCTCCAAAGGCTGTCCAGAATTCTCACTGTGCCTTGAGGCGGCTGGAAGAGAATTGACTGATAGTGCACAAATTGGACACCCCCTGAAAGCATCCAGTGAAAACCACCTGTTTGGTATTTGAATTGAGAATGGTCATCCGAGTCCGATCCCAACCAGACGTCCAAGTCCGCCATTCCATCCTCATAACCATGATGATTCCAGGGAGTGTCATTCAAACTTGAGGAAGGCTGTGCTGATCATGCAATCATCCACTCATTCAAAAAAGCACTGTGCTGATCATGCTGATCATGAGTTGTTTGAACCTTTCATGATCGGTACATCTTCGCAGCTTCTCTACAACGTGGGTCTGGGCCACGAGACACACCACGGGCCCCACATGTTTCATCCAGCGGCAGAGGAACCTCTGAGTACCAAAACTCCAATCCAGCATCCAAACAAACAAGGCACCCAAAGGTTGAAGCCTCGCCGCAACCAAACAGACTACAAGCGACCACCCTTCAAAACAAACTGCACCGAACAACAATGCTCTCGCTCTAGCCATTTTCCAGCGCTTGGGCACCTAGACCTAAGCCTTCACCCAGCGCCTTAGCCCCAATCCAATGCCTCCTAGGCCTCAATCCAGCCCATAAGCGTTTAAGCGTCAGTGCCAAAGCGCCCAAACATCAATCCATTACCCTTTCAATCCAGCCTTGCATCAATACAACCCAAAAAGTAAAGCATACAACGCCCATGCAAAGCAAACCGTGATGAGGAACAAACAAACACACACACACAACCAGATTCCACCATCCAGCGCCTAAGCACAAAAGCCTCAATCCAGCACCGAAGCGATTAAGGCTTAAGGTTGAACCATAAGAAATTGGCTCAGAGACTTATAGGCATATGATGCGTAAACTCCCCGGAATAAGGCTCATAAATAGAGGCTTACGGCTTAAAGGTGCATGAACCAAAATCCTAGCAATAAGGACTTGGAGACTCAGAGGCTGCCTGCATTCATCAAGCCCAGCTGCTGCCCTCGAATTTCGGGCCCTTCTGGGTCCTTCCATGCTTCTAAAATCTTCTAAACAGTTTATAACAGTTTACATAACTTTAAACACCATGGCCCATAGGCTATCCTCCTTCAGGGTCAATCAAGTTGTTGATGAAACTGACTTCATAACCACGGCTTGGTGTTGTTCTTTTTCCCTCCGTTTATGCGCAATTACACGTCGCATCAACGCAATACACGGCGCTGCTTTGAGGATGCATACCTGCACGTGAACGCCCTTTGGATGGAAACACTTCGTGTCAACGGCCCTGCTCCCTTCGATTTTCTGGACCTGCCACAGTCACGTTCGCTGTGTCACACTCACCAGTCACCCAGTCACATGACTTGAGGATGCAAACATCGGATGGACCCGTTTTATTGTAGACCAGAGCATGTTGAGATTTCAACAAAGGAACACACACACACACACCTTTCAACCATGTGGATCTTCCCCAAAACATCATGTTTCAGTTTTCGGATGTTTTTGGTATTTTTCTCCATCCAGCCAACTTAGCTCGTCAGGAGCTGCGGGAGGAGGTCAAGCTGCTGGGGAAGGGCGTGCCCAAAGGCACCGAAGTCATGGCGCCTGGGCGGAGCTTGGTCGGTAGAAATCGATTCCGGCCATTTGGGTGGATTTTTTCTACACCGCTGGCCGGATATAAGGGCGCCACACCACGGCGTCTTGCACAGCAATGTTGGCAATGTCAAGGCGTTTGAAGCCAACTCACTTGGTGCCAAGTGGATGACAGTGAGATGATGGGCTACTACTTGTGCTCATTAGGCGTCTTTGGTGTTTCCCAATGTTTCACCTTTGGGGAGCAGACAACTGTCCGCCGGCGAGTCATTGGCATCCGTCTCGTTAGTGTTAGCAGGGAAGGCCTCGTGAAGGCAGAGTGGGCTGTTGCCGCTGAATGCTTGTTGCACCCGGGTCTGGAGTCTTAATCATGCTGGGCGTTGTCGTCAGCAGGTAATCCCCACAGACATTCACTGGACATTTTGGGGGGGGATGCTCACCCAGATGTTGTGTGTTCTTCGGACCGTTCGGACCGTTCGTAGGACCGTTCCTACGGGAGTTCTGACGGGGCGGGGGCGACGTCCTACGGTCATGACGCGTCTTGTGGCCATGAGGCTTGGATTGTGTATACTGATCCAATCACTTCAAATTCGTTCAGGCACGAAGCTAACAGTGTTGGATATCATCTAGCCAGCTAACAGTGTTGGATACTGCTGGGCCCCTTTGGGATATTCATTTGGGAGTCATATGATGGCCGGATTTGGTCCAACTTGTTGGAGTTGGAACGTGTTGGAGGACATCGAAACCCTCAACGGTTTCACCAGAGGCTTGCTGGATGTGTTTGATTCCTTCTTCCAATTCAAAGGAGGTGTGAACACTTTATTTCACGTCTTGGTCGAACCACCCTTCCGACTTATTCGTTCAACTTGGAGCTTTTAAAGAGCCTCTCCCTTCCATTGCTTCACATTTTGTTTTACTCCTTAGCTTGTGGACACAATGCTGCACCATGCTGCATCCCTCAAATGCAGAAACACTCTACTGTAGTGCCTTCTCAAAGGGTGTCGATCTGGTTTCCTGATTGACATGTGGGCGGGCATCGCCCGAGCTCGACCAAGCAAGGTGTGCTATCGCCATGTGCTTCACAATGCGCCGGAAGTGAAGGCAAAGCTACCTGGTTGAAGGCCATGGAATGGTTCTGGCAGGGGCTGGTGCGATCAGAGGCTTGAAGGTGGTACTACCCACCCTCGGAAGCATTGGCAAAGCGGATGTTGATGTTGGAGTTCGTTCAATTGGAAGAGAGAGAGAGAGATATTTGATATTTCTAATTGTTTTCGATGTAAGCACTCCCATGCCAAGATGATCACACCACAGTGATGTTGCTTGAATCACAGCGTGCCATAGCGTACTCCAGCTCACAAGGTGTGGTTTCACCTCCAGACTATGTTCAGCCACTTTCGGGGAGTTTGCATGGGTCTGACCTGCCAGTTCATTAGCCCAGAATTCAAGAACAGGTGTAGACCATATGGTTGAATGAAATCCTGCACCACCCTACAAGGGGAAAAACTAATGTCAATCGTAAGTATGATCCATATTGATGAGTTCAACAGGTTGTTTCCACGGAGACTTTTCCTTCAGGTCAGTATAGGCATCATGTTTCCACGTATGCGTCGTATAGGGCCAGACCATCAACTTCAACGCCTCTATTTCCTTCTTTTTAACCCTAGGGATCCAGTCGTACCTTCTCAGGTACGGTGAGCAGGGAGACTCTTGATGTAGGCGCCATTGTCGGGCCCAGTCGCACCTCCTGATCAGGAACCAGTGGATCCCTAGGGTTTTCGATCTGTGGCAGGTGCTCAGCCACTCCGGCATCGGATCCAAGACGTGGATTGTCCCGGGAGGGGTTCCAGACCACCCCAAGCAGTTGAATGTGGCGTGAAAAGACGCCGTGTTGCCTTTGGTCACCCAAGGCAGATGAACAGCTGTAAGTCGTCGATGTTCAAAACATCTCAATAACCTTTTTTCTGGACACCAGGATCTAACGGTTTGGATTCCACGCCGGTCCAAGACCCGTCCGGACTCCCGGACGTTCCAAAAAAGGGAGAACTCCTGCGCTCGGTTCCACGGAGTCGTCGGCTGGGAGTGAGGCTCGGAGACGATCTCCACGTCTTCCGCCCAGCGCGGTGGATCGGCCCCGAGGCGCGCGGCACGTGGGATGCGGGGTGAGACTCGGTAGTAGGAATGGCCACCAACCTAGTAGTGATGGCCTCCAACCTATAGAATAGCGATGGCCTCCAACCTAGTAGCTTCTTGTTACTGTACTTTGCAGGGTTTGAGCAAGAGTTCCTCGCAGGCTTTGAACAGCTTCTTTAAACTTGGGTTGATTTGATATCAGTTTCTTTTTCCCCTATTTCTATCTAATGAAGGGCCTTTGCTTGAGAAGCTTTAGGATTGATTGAGGGCGGACTCGGTGCATGACTGATTCTGCTGACTTTGGTTGTCCTTGAAGTATTTTGCAATCTTTCAGCTAAGTTATATATATATATGTATATATCACATTAATGTGTATATATATACATACAGACACTGTGTATATATATATATAATTATAGAAATTGAAGCCTTTAAATCGTATGCCAACTCTCCTCTATACTGGCTTGGAAATGTCTGACAATTGAAAGTGTATGTTGTACTACCTCGAGAAGGAGGACATGTTGCCCCACATCTGTGTCCCAATGTTGGACCTCTCCACCCCTCGCATCTTGGGCATTTCGCGCATCGCAGGGCCTGGTGAAATGCCCTCCCTTCGACTCTTTGCCTTTTGGTCACGGTGCCCGGATTTGCCTGGGAAAGATCCTGGCAGAGTACGAGGGGAAGTTGGTGATCGCCCAGGTCCCTTTTGAAGTTGGTGATCGCTGTGTGCCGCGGGGCCTGGTGGTTTGGAGTTGGGGGCAAAGGTTCATTGTGTCTTGAGTCTTGAGCATCTTCATCAGGTCTTCTGAAACATTGGCTTGTCCCAAACGGACTTAAGCCTCCAAGAACAGGTTACAGCCGAAGCCACCTACGGACCCGACCTACTGTAACGCATCCTGAATACACGTTTCAGCTTTGTGCAGCCTGAGTCAACATGCTCACTTTGAAAGAATCTTTCTTCAGAGCAGTTTGGCGTGGGAAGTTTATTCGCGGCGAATTTGCCCCTTGACCACAGCCTGACCATTTTGACCAGGGGGTCGAGTCAACAGAACCGTGCCTATGGGTTTGCTTCGGATCTCTGCAAACTTCGTCTTCGAGCACATGACACACCTCGAATGGCCAAGACAGCTTCTTGCTACTAGTAGCGATGGCCTCCAACCTACTATAGCTTCGGCCTTCACCGTTCTATAGCTTCTTGTTGGTAGTAGTAAGAATGCTTTTAGTAGTACGGCCAGGAGCCCCTATATCGTAGCGTCCTTACACTCCGGACTCGAGTCGCGATGCTGCGGAGCCGGTTGGGACCGCCTCTCCGGTCGGGACGAGCCGCGCCAGGTCTTGCGGCACTTCAAGCTCAAGCAATGGCAGGGGCCACCACTGAGGGAGATGACCTCCTTCGTGGTCTTACCCGGCAAAGAGGCCATCTGAGGGGGTCTGAAGTGGTGGAAGATGGAAGATGTTCCTGTTCATGAAGGAAGAGGATTCGTGAATCCTGGACACTGTTTTCAGAAGAACACGATGCTGGAAACCCATGCATTCCGCCTCCTGACAGGGGCGGTGTTCGTTTTCAGGGAGTGTACTTGATGATTTCATATTTACGGTAGTACAAAGTGCTCCCCGCATTCTACTTGTTTGGGGGTTTAATAATTTGAATGCACTAGCTACAGACAGAAGTCGTTGGCCACGAAAGAAAGAAAGGAGGTCGTTTGCACTAGCTACACACTGTGGCCTGCAGGTATCTGCAGATCTGCAGATCTGAACGCCGCTGATCGACTCCCGCGATCGATGCGGAAGAAGCCCCTCAAAACCCTCTGACAGGTGTGGGGGGGCGCCAGTCGAAAAGTTATATTCTTTGGGATTCTTTGGGTATGTATTCAAAGCAGGAAACCTTTTTTTCCAACAAATTCTTTGGGTTTGGGGTATGTTTTTCACTTGGGGAAGCTATCTTGAGACCTCCGACATTTGCTAGAAGGACATCCTTGCATCAAAGCCCATTGGTGGGTGGGTCATCCTATTGACATCCAGGGCTTTCCACGATGGTGGCAGAGTTCCACACCGAAGGATTGGTCGTTTTGGGTTCCTCAAAACCCATGGGACTTATAACCACGGCAGGTGATCATTGGCCTGGAACCCCGTGCCTGACCGCCATGGGATCTTCGACGAGTGAACCTGCTGAAGAGACCGGATTGTGCGGTGTCCAATCTCCCAAAGTGGCGAAGGTGATTGGATCCTTGGATCCTTGTTGATACTCTCTTAACGTTTTAGACTTTTAGACTCAGAGATTTGGCTGCAAGATGCACCCATTCTTCTTTTGTGCTGAGCCCGGATCGTTGGCTCGGCGATGTGACTGGATCGGCCGGAATTCCCACTCGTGCGGGACGGCTCGTTTGGCACAGAGATGAGGAGGTGGTTCCAAGGCCGACGGCCCCAAAAAAGGAGCGACGATGCATGGGAAGCACTAAAGATGCGGGTTGTTGAGTTAGTATTGAATTTATTTGCTCTTATGACTCCTTTCAAGCACGTGCAGCAAGTGATTTTTGTTGAGGTCGAAGAGATTCTTGGGTTGATGCTTGCCGTACGTGTAGACAGGGAGACCAGATCAAAGTATGTTTGCCTTTGCTATCAAGACAGGGAGATCCCAAACTGCCCTCATTAAGAAGATACAACAAGGCCAGAGGCCGGACGCCTTTGTTTTCAAGCCGGAAGAAGGGCTCTTTCCCATGTTCCATTTGCTAGGCTCAGATGCTGCAGCTACACCATCGCAACTGTCGCACCGCCAGCGTCTGAAGGCAGCGGGGAGAGGGGGTGCAATCCAAGGGATCTTCAGGCTACTCTTCACCGGGTACCCCGCAGTTGTCCGACCTCCTCGCATTTCAATTCGTGAAGATTCCTATGGGCCCGTTCGAGTCAAAGTTCGGGTCTTTGGCGCTGTAGAAGCAACACGACTACGATCGACTCTGTGACTTGCAGAGGTTGATTCATGTTGATTCTGTTCTTGATAAGGAGGCTGCTGATGGGCCGACCACTTTGATTGTAGGAACCCACCAAGTCTTGGATGGATTTCACAGATTTCACAGGTGGATTGAACAAGTGATGTGGAATGCAATTCACAGAATGCTCACAATTCGTAGCTATACACACCTATTCATATATCGTTGAAATATATGACTTTTAGTGGTTGCCAAGCAGCTGGCTTGTTGGCAAGATTGAAGGACAGTTCGAAGAGCTTTTGATCATTTTTGACCCAGATGTAGTCTCGAAAGCATTCTCCGGTTTCGACAAACTGCCGGTTGGCAGTGCCACTTTAGCAGCGGTAATACTATATTTGATACTACTTGTTTTGGAATACAAGCTGCAGTTGTGTGCGATATTAGCGTAATATGATAATAACTATATGCTAATTGAATGCCCAGCATGGTGCTACCCGCAAACATTTCACACGACTGAGAGGGAATTCTCCTCAAACCCTGTGCTTGGAGTCTGAACTGCAGTTGGTCTTCATGTTGCCGCTGTGCTGAAGTGACGATCATACACAGACACTTCAGGATCATTCACTTGAAGTTCTTATAAACCCATGGGTGCACCTGTTCAGGATACCTGTAGAACTTGAATCTCTCAAATCTCCAGAACTCACTGTTAGGTGATTGTTTGTTGGTGTTACCGTCACGGGGAGGTCGACACCTCCCCCATCCCCAGGCTCGATCGAGACCCTGGCCCCTCGGCGTGCGCAACGAACGCGACGGGACGGGAACCTGGGCGAAGAAGTGGGGAAGTGGGAGCCCCTGCAATCCCAGAGCTGGACTATTCTCAGGTTTTCTCAGGAGTTCTTGGATTTTTCCTGGCTTAAAGTGAAAGCAATACTGTAGATGTTTGGTGGTGTGGAGCTTGGATGATTTGGAGTTCTTGGCTTCTTTGGGGCAGTGCAATTGCATCAACCTTGCTGGAAATAGAGATCCTGTTGAGGCAAGGTGGACATATATGATCAGAAAGTGTGACATGCCGGTTCTGAACAACTAGTCATGTCCCAACTAGTTCTGTCATATCATACCAGGAACTGATTCCTGAATCCTGATTCCTGAATTTACTCTACTGAGTGCATGTTTTGCAGCCAACTGGCTTTCGGGTCAACCACCTCAAAACCAAGGGGATCGCCAGACCATTTTGCTCCATTCTGTTCATTTGGTTGAAGCGGAGCGACACAGGGACGTCCTTTTGGAGTGAGTGTTCCAGACTTCTTCGTTTCCACCGACCGTGGTGTCCTGACACCCAGTGCATCACATGAGGAGTTGTGGCGGTCGCTTGGGGTAGTTTGTCTCCCTGCTGAAGGTTTGATGACACAAGAAAAAAGAAAACCCACTGTCAGCTTGTCTCCTTGCTGAAGCTTTGACCATATATTTCAGATTGCTCCCCGCAGTGGCGGATGTTTGCGATGACGCGCAACGAGGGCACTGTAGCATTGGATTTCATGCCAGCATTGCATTCATCTTCACTATTGGATCGAACGTTCTCATCGACTCTGGAAACAAAAACAAAAACAATAAAGTGCCACCAATTGGGAATCTAGCCAAGAGTGTTGAGTGGGCCCTGCATAACTTGGGTTCTATGACTTCCCACTTCGGTCGATTGGGTCGGAGATCGCCCTGCGGCCGCGGTACACAAGGTCCGACGTGTATAGCTGTTGGTCTTGGACCTCGACAAGACCTGTATAGCTTCTCACATGCCTCTACTCCAGAGATAGGGTGGGGCCTGCAGCTCTGTAGGTCCGACGTGACAGCCGGTGGTATGAGTGGGATAATGATGAACCGATGGGAGGTCTCCCGGAGGTCCCACAAATGCTCCAAGGATCCTATAGTGGCCAGAGTGTTCTTTTATGTCCGAAACACGCGCCCTACCTGAAAGAGCCAACCGGGATGCTGCTCAGGCCGTGTGATACTCCCGAAGGCTTTTGTCACACCCTTGGCCGGGTGTGGGGCGCACACCAGCACAAGCGAAGCGCGCTGCAGGGCGTACATGCTTCGAAGGCGTTTGAGGCCAACCCACTTGGTGCAAAGTGGATGATAGTGAGACGATGGGCAACTTGTGTGGGCAACTTGTGCTCACTGGATGCTGCAGAGTTTGCTGGGTGTGCTAGCAGGGGAGGCCACTGTCAACAGTTGCTCAGGTAGTGTCTCGAGGCTGGGCTCGAGTGCTGCAATCCCAGCAACGCTCGTCCCTTTGGCGAAGCCTACACGTCAGGGTGTTGGTTGTGTGCTGGCTCACTCTGGGCTGCGTCTAGGAAGAGGAGGAAGATACAAAACGGTAGGGCGTTCAGATCAGCTCCCATGTTTCAGATCAGGTCTCCTGCCATCAGTCCGAAGCTCTTGGACTGAACTCTGGGTCGTGGCGGTTTCTAGTTGGACCCACTCTGGGCGAGCGACGAGCGTTTGCTCGCTTGGAACGGAGAAAGGACTTCAGAACACAACCTTGTGACACCCGAGGTTTCTTGAAGCTCGGCTTTCAGGATGTTGTATCCTTCAGGTTTCGTCACTTGCAAGTTGGATGGAACAGTATCTACCAACATCGACTGTACAGCTCGACCGGTCCCTCACAAGTGGTCCAGTCCAATCTTCCAGAGGAGACTTGCTACAGCTCGTACCTTGGGTACCACCCACCGAATCCCAGCCACCCTCCCATGATTCCATGGATCCCATGATCCCCTCCCGGACCGAACATCTGGTTTCACGAATATCTGGCAGTTCCGAGTTGGACATCATGGTTTGGTGGGAACATCCAGCAGTTCGGTTCGGGTCTTCGTGGGTCTTCGGATTGATTTCATGTTCATCCGATGCCAATGCCATCCACTTCACTCCAGCTTAGCACGGCCGCCACGACCGTCACGGCGTAAGCGATTTCCACCCAGGTCCGCGCGTTCGGCACGCTCCACCCGGGCGACCTCGGTGTCCAGCTTAGCATCGCTCACGAAGGCAGGGGCAAGCGGCAGAGTGGGCAGCAGGTCCATGGGAGTTTTTTTGGATCCATGTGAAGATAGAGTTGGATCGAGTAGATTTTCTGGAACACTGACCAGAATAAGATAAGAGGATCCGGGTGGTGCACCATGAGGGGTGCAACGAAAATGCTACTCACCAGGTGTGAGTTCTCTTTTTCTTTGGGGGGGAGAGTCAGGGAGTCACCTCGCTGCACTACCGGGTCACCATGTTTCTTAACGTGCTCCCTTATGATCGTCTTTATGATTGGATTCGATATGATTGGACACACCTTAGATGAGATTGTCCAGGTCTTCTTTCAGCGGATTTTTCCATGGGGTCCTTGTTGGAGGCCTTCGCTTTTTGACAGGCCTCTACACAGGAGGAGCTGCACGGAGATGAAGGCATGGAGATAAGGGGTGCTGATCTGTTGATCGGATTTTCATCCAAACAAATGCAAGAATGGGAAGACATGAATGTACCCACTTTCAGTATCAATAATATTGCTATGCACTCGTTTTATCTTCGGTAGGATTGAATACTACTTCCTCGTTGGGTTTGTCTTCACCAGTATTTTCCACCATTTGCAGGGTCAAGAGAATGTGTCACAGCAACCTGCAAATTTGATGGGGCTTTACTTAGTTTCCTTTGACCCGGGGTGAATGAAAGACACCCCTGTATTGTGAGGAGTCATACGAGAAATGACTGGCTCTTCAGCCTTCTATGTGCCCACATGTGATCTTCAAAATTCGAAGATTCAAGTTGACTCAGCTCTTACGATCTCGCACCAGCTCTCCTCCCACCGAGCTTCCAGGCGAACTTGAGCGGAGATGTGTGGAATGCACAGCTGCTGGGCCCACCGTTCTACGTCGGACGATGGGTGTGGTCGCTTCACCTCCCGTGGTCTGAAGGTATGTGGGGAGAGACTTGGGGAGTTCACAGACACAGACTTGGGGAGTCAAATGTTTGATCCACCACTGAGAGGCCCTCTAACTATACTACTATACTGGTGACCTTCCTTTCTAAGCATCCTTTGGGTGCTGCGATAGATAGAAGTTCTCGTTCTTGATCCTCACTTGCGCTTGCTGGAAACGTGGCTTTCTGACGAGGCGCTTAGCTTCCTGATCGGGAGCATCTGTTGACTCTGACTCGAACTTAAAGACTTTGGCTCAAGAAGACTCGACCATCTCTTGAAACACTCGCCCATATCTCACACTTGATACCTCTTGGGATACACTCCATGAATTTAGAGTATGTGCTAACCCCAAATCGGGTCCACCCCCCAAATCTTTCTATTTTCCACTGACGTTTTTACGAGATCATTGGAGTATTTTTTTCATCATCGGGTCAAAAGGAGTGCAACATGTTTGCCTCCCTTGGGCCTCCCAGAGACCTGCCACAGAGGAGCGGTGTCACCTGCGCCGCCGAGGCGGATTCGAGGTGTTTGCGCTGCGTGGCGACCAAGCCACTGCTTGCCGGAGAGAGGCCTAGAAATTCCGTGGGTGCATGGGAGTGCTGAGGGGTGATCCAGAACTTTGGTTTGTAGGATGAGAGTCAATAGCTTGAAATGAACAAAGTGAGAGTCAATGAGAGTTATTGTAGACTGTAGTGACTGTAGATCTTTTCTTGCTGAAGCCTAGACTCCCATTCTGATGGGTTTGTGTCGCATCACCCCTTCGGTCGGCAGAAATTCGTGAGACAGGTTGTACTACCGTGCCGCATGGAAACGCCTATTTTGGTTTGTTTTGGTCCATGCACAGTGATAGATGATAGCAAGAAGCTACCAGGAACAAGGGCATTACTACTAGTAGCCAGAAGCAAACTAGTAGTAACACAGTGATAGATAGATGATAGATGTCACCGGGTGTTCTTCGTCCAGGCGCAGCGATGCCTTCCTCCGCAGCCGCCGGCCGTTGGTCCGGCGCCGTTCTCCGGAAGCCAGCGGCCGGCCGGAACGGAGGCAGTGAAGCGACTGGTCTGGTCATAGGGAGCTGGAGTCTCTAGCCTTGCCAAATCGCTGGAGTCTCTAGGAGTTGTGCTTTTAGGTCATATTTTTGAAGGGGAAGATACAGATCAAAGATTTTCAGAGTGGGAAAGAAGGGTGTATCTCCAGGATTCGTAATGCATGGGAATGCATGGCAAAGGACACTTCAGTCTTCGATCTTTCAATAAGTTCAACTTCCAATCTTCGGAATCATGGAGTATGACATAGTATGACTATGGCATGGGTCCCACCTGGAAAAATGTTTCGGCTGATTGGCGTCGGGGGATGTCAGGGGTCGAATGGGTCCCACCGCGGAACCCCAACGTTGGGACGCGGAAAAGCGCTGAAGAGGATTTTGGTTTCAGGTGCTACCATCACCAGTCCCTGGTTCTTGAACAAATTCCCTCTCACTTTGGCACTTTGGCTCTTAAGACAAATGATATAATCGAAGAATTTTTAATCCTTTTTCCACATATCATATTGATCATATATTTGATCATATTGTCATATTGTGTCCTCACATGACCAGACCTTCATATGGCTTGTCATATATGGTTTTCACCGAGATCTCCCGTGGAAAAGAGTGCTTCATATTGCGTGTTTCATATCGCGGGCCATTGGTACTTCATGGCCAGACTTGGGAGGCCGGCACCCCAGGAGGACTACGAGGCCAGCACAACCAGCTGCGGAGGACCAGGCTGAGGTCTTGGCAGGCCGAGGTAACCACGCCTTTGGCCCAAGGTCGGTCCAAAGAAGCACCCCACTTGGAAGATTGAGCCAGTTTGAAAGATGCCATGGAACGATATATACATATATCTCATTATATTTCTATATACTCGTACCAGAAGAATCCATTAGCAAGAAGCCTCAGAAGCCTCGCTACGGAGTGGCGTCAGACAGTCCCTTTGATCGACCACAAGTCCTCTTGATCGACCAAGCTGTTTGTGGCTCTCAGGAATCAATGAGAATGTCTTGAGTCTGTAGAGACCCTGTGCCCGGACACACACACACACACGACTGGACAAGCAGTTTCTCTACGAGCGCAGCACTCGACAGAGTTTTGGATCTCTGCCCACCGTCTTTCCATCCTGCCAGCGCTATTGGAAGGTCCACTGAACCGACCGCGTCTTGGAGAACCGACCGCGTCTCGTAGGGCAAAGCTGCAGTTGCAGCCCAGTTGCAGTTGCAGCCCAAAGACGACGCATCCATCACTTGTAATTGACTTTCATGGCCGGCTGGGAGGCTATTCCAACTGAAGATACTTGAAAAGTATATACGCAGACTTACTGAGAACACCCTCCACGATGGAGCCTTTGTTGCCTTTTCCTTGGGTCTCCCATGGATAAACCCCTCCCCGCTCAAGAAACCACTGAATGGCAGGACATCTCCAAGCATTTTCCTCCTAACTCCGAGTGATGTCAGAGCCCAGATCATCCACACCCAGATCAGAATGAGAGAGATTGTCGCACCAGGGTGAGCAATGCCTTGGACTCCGGACACTTAGTGGATCACTAGACCGGACTTTCCAGCCCACCTCAACCACCCAACCGAGCAGCTCTCGTGTCTCAAAAATCACCCAGCATCCTCCCAGCTACTCCCAGCGACCGCCTCCTCTGCGCTCCCTCTCTTCCTGCGCTCGCGCCTGCAGCTGAAAAATGGGCAGCAGCTTGTCCTCAGAGAGTGCTTTGGTGCTGTGCTCCAGTGGCCGTTGCTCCCACAGCTTCCCCTTGCGCCTCAGCGCGGACGCGGCGCGCGCCTGCAGTGCAGCGGCCATGGGCGGAGCATTGAGCTGCCAGGTGAGGAGAACATGCATTCGTAGGGGAGGAACATCTCCTATAGCAGATGGACATGGGAACACAGAGAAATCATGAAGCTTCTTAGAATGATCAACCAAGACAGGGACTGACGGCTCAGGTGGAGGGCTATACTACAAAGCTCACCAAGGAGGCAGCTGGGTGTCACTGGGGTTGGGGGTTGATGGCGAAGGCAGACCTTGGGGTATGTCATGAATCGAAGATGCACTTTTTTCGTGAGGAGTTGGTCGAAGGACGATGGATCGGAACCTGTTGAGACGAGTCCCCGCGCGGGTGTGCGCTGCTTTTGCGGAGCCGGTGGCGGAGCCACCTGGCGGTGCGGAGGTCTCGACTCGTGGCCGTGTGGCCGGTCGTTTTGTGAATGAAGGTCTCAGAGTTTCTGTTGGGCAGGTCTCATGAAACCCAGGCAGTGGGAAAATCGATTGATGGAAATAGGTCGAAACCACAATCACTCACAGCACCATTGACAGGTGTGGCGCCCCTCCGTCTATGAGTGAAGTAGTCATGGAATGACGTGGTCATGCTCTGGAGTGCCAATGAAGAAGCACCGGTGTGCACTCTGAGGCCTTCCGTCTCAGAAGAATGTTGCCATGATCCATACTACCTAAGTTCCAGGTAAGCCACCACGAAAACCGTTGCGGGATTAGGGATAGACTCGGGATGGATATACCACAAGTTATCACAAGTAAATATAATTGAAGAACCGATTTCAACTGCGTATTGACATATCCGTGGTGTTCAGACTTATGATGGGAAAGTAAGTGGAACATGGGAAGTGATTCGATGTTTCTTCCGCCCAATTCCGTCGATGAAAAGGCGGGAGTGGCCTCCCTGCGTTTGCAGCTCCTCTCGCCACGCCCCCGCACGCTGCTGCTGCCCTCCTGTGCGGCGCTCGCACTACGAGCAGCGAATCAAATGGGCTTTCTGGCGGCCTGGTTTGGCAGATCAGCTTATTGTGTTTGTATTTATAGATTCATTACTTTTTTGTATAAATACCCTCTTCTGGAGAATTTTGTATATTATATATTCTTTCCAGGTTCCTTAAGCAAATCCAAGGCCGGGATTGGGGCCTTGGTGGCTGCTGAAGAGGAGGGTGGCACCCTGTTGGAGGCGATTTGGAGAACAAACTGCGAGGAGCATGATGGGCCAGGTGTTGCACCGTTTGGAACTTGATGAATCTTGATGGTTCGACTTGGAGCTTTAAGTCTTGGGCGGCCAGGGGGCTATGTCCCAAAATGAGCGACACTGTGCAGAGTGTGTCTTTCTCTATCCGAGCCTTGCTGTCCCCTTTACGTGAAAGGGGTTACCCTCTTAGAGACTCCTTCGTAGGCGATTCTTCAGGTGTTCCGCTTGGATCAATCCAGGTGACTGAGATGTTCAGGGTCCAACCACTCCAAAGACCAGGAACTTCGCAGAAGCCATTGACTTGCAAAACCAAACAGATTCCTGATGAAAACACATATATCAAAACTCCAACGAACGTGGTCCTGATGAACACAAATGAACACCACAGACTTCTCGGACCTTCGTTCACCGACCTCGGCCCCCCATTGTCTACGTTGATCAGGCAGTCGTCTTCGGGCGGCCCAACGAAGCCTTTCTGGAGCTGATGCCGCTGGAGGAAAGCACACTACAGGAGATCAGTTTTGTGTGTTTGGTTTGGGGAGTGGAACTGGGCAAGACCCCTTAGCACCAGAGTCTATGCTCCCTCTTCCCAGGTTCAAAGGGACCGGGCAAAGCTCATCTTGGGAGTTGAGCCAAGGTTATACCTGGATCTTCCTAGCTAATTACGGTTGTTTTTCGATGTGTTTTTTGACTTCGATCTTTCTGTGTCTTCAAGCAAAGCTCCATTTTCAATGCGACTCTTCATTGCTAAGATGGTGATCCCAAACAAACCATCGTGTTCAACGGCCAACGACAGAGATATCTGCGTTGTTTCACCGAAGCGGCAGAAGGTCCACGCACCGTTGAGGTCGGTCCAAGTCTAAGAGATCCACAGCGGACAACGCCGTTGACAGCGGTCGTCAGGTGAGTGGAAACCAATCAGGATTGGGCGTTCAGAATGGATCCTGAGTAACATCAGAATCAATGCACCAAGAAACAATGGTTTGGATGTTCGGAAAAGAACAATACACTCCCTGAAAGAATCATGGAAGTGGATGGCGTGGCCCCGAAAGGATGACCATTTGCCCTACAAACAGGTGGTGCCATCCACTTCCATGTTGGCGACTCCGAATGGACTCCATGTTTGTACATTGTCAACGTTGTTCTACCTTCACATGGACCCTCAAAGGTCAAGGTGTTTATGGTGTGAGGGTCCAAAACCTCGAGAGACCCGTGCAGGGTCAAAACCGTGCCAAAAACGCTCAGGGCAGCGGGAATATTCCTTTCTGAGCATGGTGTTTGATGGTGAAGGGTCTAGATTCTAGATTCTAGATGGGTGCTCAGGATCATGGAATACAGCTAAGCAAATGCATCCAGGTGTGAGGGACGTCGGCTTCAAGGTGGTGGGAACCACGGCCTGCAATGAATTTGTCCAGCACAGCTTCACTCGGTTCGCCAAGGAAGGGGACCCTTGGATGCCCTTGTATATAGATGAGCACTGCATTGTGGGAATGGTTTCAGATGGCTGAAGCCATGTATGTAGCTTGTCTGTTTGGACAGATGGGTGATCCATGGTGATCCATCTATGTACAACCGTGGAGTAGATAGAATATGAACCAAAGCGAACATCTGACCAGTTTCCTGGTTTTAGGATTTCTTCATCCATTCATATCTATTCTATCTACTATTCTATCTACTCCGAAATTGACCAACATCATCGACTGGGTCGCTATATGCTCTTGGTCAATTTTGGTCATCCTAAACCTACCTCCACCATGAACTCGCCTTAGTCCTCGCCTCATCAGGAGCTCTATCCCTTGGGCAGCACTGCTGACCTGCGGCTCCTGCGGTCCATGCGCTTCGAGCTCCTTGGACCTGAACGGAGCGAGCGCTCTGCTCGCTCGAGTGGGGACCGGGACCATGGTCCGGGAGTCTCGCACTGCCGGGGTGCTGCGTTTGACATTTGAGGCAGAAAAAACAGGTGGACTGAGGTAAAGTAGTATTGTGGGATCCTTCGTTCAGAATTCCATGCACCGCTGCAGCTATTTATGATGTTTTCTGTCTTTGTGGAATGTTTTCTACTACTACTACTACTACTACTACTACTACTACTACTACTACTACT